CAGGTACCGAACAGTTCTTTTGGACACCACCAAGACAGCTGGAATGCATTTCAGATGCATTGATTTATAGCCATAAAGCATCCTGTGCTGGTTTAAATGCTCCTGCAGGAACAGTGCGACTTCCAGCAAGTCAGAGTAGAGGGGCCTTTTCGCCTAAACAATCCTAAGGACTTAAAGTACCTGCGCAATGCTGACAAACTTAAACTAATTCCATCCACATTGAGGAAATTCAGTATTTCCCAGTGTTGCATACCTAAAAGGAAATAAGAGCATATTAAATCCGACAACCCACTCATTGTTTCTGTTTCCTGTAGCTAAGCTCAGCAATGAATGTACTTCTGGATCTCCTAAATATGACATATCTCATAATTGTGACATCTGATCTCATAATTTTGAGATCTGGTTCTCATAATTCCGAGATACTGATCTCGAAATTATGTGATAAGTTGTCAGATTTTTTTTTTTTTTTGGTGAATGCAAAACGTACACTTCCCTAATTACGACTTTAGGTCTTTCTTCTTATCACTTCCATAAATGCCAAATATTTCATCTGCCTGACTAATAATTGTCCTCACAACAAAGTTCCACTGTGCTTTAATTTCCTATAAGGCTTGAAGGATTTCAGATTCAGTTGGGCTAAAAACACAAACATTTCATTTGGATTTTATCTGTAAAACCGTTTAAAACCATATATTATTTTTCCTCCACTTCAGTATCAATCACTATGTTTAGTTGGTCTATGTTGTAATTAGGAAAATGTAAAAAAAAAAAAAAAAGCTTAAAGGGCATGCATATTTTTTAAAACTACCTTGCATGCATTTCTTTTCTAATTTGGTGAGATTTGTAAAATTGTCTGGAATTTACAATAGAGATTTAAATTGAAGCTGATCATGTCATGTTTCATGTTATAGTTTGTACAATTTTATATTTTGTTAATGTGAAAAATAGATAATGTTGATTGTTTTTGAGTTAGCTTATATGCTTTTACTTTTACATTTTTATATCAATTTTTTTCTCAAGTAGAGCAATTTTGCATTTTATTTTTCAGCGTGACCTGGAGTTCACCCTTGAGCTAGATTTTAAAGGACAACTATGTGAAGCTGCTATTTCTCATGACTATAAAATGCGTTAGAGGCAAACAAAGGCACCGAAGAGGATCCGCCCCAAGCTCACCTGGACACAACTGGAGAGGGGTGGAGGCCGAAGGCTGTCCAGGAAGCATTCCGGTTTATCAGAGTGGGAAGTAAACGGGTCATCTTACAGGATGCCATGAAGTCTGCATCCATGTGATGCAATCAGAGTGCACATAGAACTTTCACTCAGCAATAGTGTCATCACTGATAGTGCTGGTCAGAAGCTTATATCCGGTCATCATGGGTATGATTAGTATCATCCATTTAAGTCTTTAGTTGAAGCATTTGTATCAGTTTTTTTTTTCCAGAAATGCCAAATAACTCTAGGTCAAAACCACAGATAAAGACCCCTATCAAGTTGCAGGCAAGGCATTTTAAAAGGGCCTGCTTTGTCCATTCATAAATCTGTTTAATATTTAGGATCATTGTTCTGTTTTAACATCCAAAAATGTTTAAATTGAAGTTTCTGACTTAAACTGGCATTGGTAAAAGAACAGGCTATACACCTAAAGAGGCTTTGACACTGTTACTGTCCACAGAGTTGGGCGTTTACCATCACCATCATCTGAGAATTTGCTGACCAATCAGAAGACACAGCTCCAAAAATATGAAACTAAAATAATATGAAAATTGATATGGATAGGAAAAATATCTCTTGGTATATTCAGACAAAAAAAATCCAAAACTGTATAAATTAAATGATATTGTTTTGAAGAATTCTTCCTAAAAACATTGAACCAACTGACAAGCAGTTCTCGAGTTGAGGAGGGATGGCATCTCCCTTCTTAAAAATCATCCCCCTTCTTAAATGACTATCCCCCATACAATCCCCTGCAACATTTTATTACTGAATGTTAAAATTTGTAATATATATTAATAGTAATGGCATTAATATTGCCCTGTCAGCATTTGGTTGTGGGCTAACGAGTAGCCTGACCAAAATGAATAAAATCAAAGAAGTGGCCTACCATGACTAAGAAGCTGATGCCAGTGGGAAAACTCGCCCTCTGCATTTGTCCCTAACTATGTAGGGGCAGTGATAGCCATTACAGTCGAGGGACTGGCTGCAGTTCTACTGTAAGATGCCTTGGTCAAGGTCCATGACCGGCATTACTGACATGTTACAACCACACTATTCATATCTCTTTAGGATATTTTTTACAACTAGACTACTGCTGGCAAGCATGGTATTGGCAGCATTATACTGGGGGGGCAGCATTGCTCCCAGTGGCATTAGTTGAAATGGTAAAATGATCCATAACAAACAACTTAAAAATGTTTTTTAAATAAAGACAGCAGTCTGACCTTAGGTTTCTGGAATAAGACTTATCTGTACCTAAACATGATTAAAACTATCTAAACTAGGTTAAAGAGCTAGCCTTGTGCTAGAAAACAAATTAAAAATGGGTACAGTCTGTCTGGCAACAGACATTTTTAACTATTCAGACATTATGCCATGTGCTACCTTACGTTTATAAGACGTGTGTTTCAATTGTTTCGTGCAATTTATAAGGACATCTTTATTAAATAAAGGGTTCATATTTGTTTTTGATTATCAATCCAACCTAATAATAAAATCAAATCAAATATTAAAAAAATTAAAATTAGTGTGACATTATTGCTAAAGATTAACGCATGGGTTCAGGGTGTTCATATTGGTTCTGACAGAGGTTAACTCTTCAAACAAATTAAATCTAAATAAGTCATTTTTTCTTAAAATAAGAGCATTCTATCTTGAATTGAGGAGGTAAGTGAGGCACTTTACCAATGGAACAAGACAATGGGCTCTATGCACAGCTCCACTACTTCCTGAATTTAAAGCAGCTCCTTTGTTTCCTGTCTTTCATTACTGGACGAACTGATTAATCCAGGTGTGTCTGGCCAGTTACTTAGGTCATACACACCTGGATTAATCAGTGCATCCAATCATGAAAGACAGGAAACAAATGAGCTGCTTTAAATTCAGGAAGTAGTGGAGCTGTGCATAGAGCCCATTTATATTTAAAATAAGAAAAAACAATATCATTGTCTTATTTCAAGTGCATATTTTCTAATCATCTTATTTCAAGACAGACAAAAAAACTAATTCCACTGGCAAATCATCTTCTTCACCGACTCAAATTAAGGATAAATGCACTTAATTTAAGACATTTTTACTTATTTCTAGATTGTTTTTGCAGTGAATGTAACAGCTAAAAAATAGTATAGTTAAATATGAGACAAAAACCATTGGGAAAAAAAAATATCAAGCTGTTTTTAGCCTTCCAAAATTAGGCTATATGATGTGATATTGCCTTTGACACTTAAAAGAAATACACGTACCTTCCCTGCTACATCAGCTCTCCCCGTGTAAGTGCTTCCCATTTCAGTCGCCCTCAAACTGCTAAAGCATGGAATAGGTTAAAAGGCCACTCCTGAAGATTATGCTCTTCTTTAGGAAGGCAACACAAAGTTTGTGACCTCTTGCAGGGGAAAAACACATTTTTTGCGACTTAGACATGAGCTTTAAAAAAAAAACTGTTGCTGTCACTGTGCAGATTAGGTGCTAAAAGAGCCAGTTAATCTGAAGTTTGAGCAGAAATGATCACGCTCTGGCTCATATTCCGCTGCTGATGATGCGAAGCAGTTTTTTTTAGTAGGGAGTAGGTGCTTCCTGAGGATGGGATGTAATGAATGTCCTATATAAATAATGATGGCCACTTGTTTTCCACGGCAGGGAAGGGCTAAATTCAAGAGGATTACTCAGACATGCATAAATCAAGGAAAATACCACTTTGGTCATAATTTTGATAAAGGAATAGCATAATGACATGGTAAAAAAAAAAAGAAAAAAAGTTTGCTTTGCATGATATAGACACATTAATGTTAGCAATTTGTAAAACTAATGTGATTTTAAAAGTGTAACTGTCTGTGAAGAATAGCATTATGAAAAAAGCTGTCTCTAGGTTTACTAATCACCTCAGTGGTTTCAGATAGTATCATTATCATTTGGAAAGCAAGCATTTTAAACTCAAACCAGGTCAGATCTGGTGCAATGGAATGCCATGTTTTTAATGGAGTGTAAAAATAATTGGGAAATATTTGTGCCTCTTATGGCTCATTATCCTCAAGTAAACATTTTGAGATTATTAGTCATTAAAAACAAGCAGGATATGTAGAACTGTAATAATATTAACATCCAATTAAACAGAGGACTAAAACCTTCAAAAAGAAAAATATATACATTTGTGTCGCTTCAATCAATCTTTTATAGCGTTTTAATGCTTTTATCAATAATAGCTAAAATTTTGAAATCATATGATTTGTAAACTAAGCGATGTGGTTTGCATGCAGCTCAACAGACTTGGTAGTTGCATTGGATAGAAAGCTGTCAGTATATGTGATTTTGTTTATTTTCACTTTTGGGTGGTGGTGTCTGTAGGTGTGTGTGTGTTTGTGCGTGTGTGTGGGAATAATCATAGAAATTATGCTTTACATATTTCTTTTATTGACCCCAATTCAGAACAATATGCTTTGGCCTCAGAAAAACAAAAACAAAAAACAAATGGAAAATGTCTAAGATGAGACACACATTGATGTAACAGATAATGTTTTTGAAGATAGGCTCAGAAAAGAAAAAAGTGGGATGTAATGATCAATAAAATGTGACAGAACCATGTTTCTTTTTTTTCAACATTTCCACCAAATTATACTCTAATAATGTAAACAAAGAGAATTAAAGAAGCTCTAACAAAAGTATAATGTGTTCTCAGTGACATGTCTCTATTTGAAATGTTACAGTTTTAACAAACTGTTTATATATATATATATTTTTTCACTCTTAGACATAGCATATACTTTAAATGGTGCACTATTTACATTTTTTTCCTTACCATAGGTAAGACCCTTTAAGCTGAAGAAATTCACCGTTTTCTTTTTTTCCCAAAGGATTAAGTGCTTCTCACCTATTTTTTATAAATTTTTTACTGAAATAAAATCTTTTTTTTTTTTTTTAAGAAACTTCATTTAAATGGGGTTTCTACAGCACTTCAACATTCTGCATTACTTTTCTGTTTTTGCTTTTGTGCATCTGTCAGAAACTGATGTAGGACTCGGTATATTGCGGTTGTCAGAAATTCAGTCTTTCCTTGTTTTTGCAAAGCTGGGTGTCTTCACTTGCAGCAGGCTTTCTTCTTAATGGGCTGAGCGCTGAGGCTGACTGTTGTCTCTCTTACCGTGTCCTCCTGCTCCATTAAAATCCTTAAAAAAAAAAAAAAAAAGAACGAAGGGGATGCTGCATGAGTCAGTGTATAATGAATTATTTTTTTTAGCTAATCTTAAATAAAAGGTTTAAAAATTCTATTAAAGGCGCTTGAATCTTACCTGGCCAGGTAAGTCAGGGACTCTATCACATTTTTGCCAGTATAGGCACTGACCTCATAGAATATCACATTGTTGTCCTACTTGAGACAGACAAAATAAGACGTGAAAGATACGAAAATCTAACAATCGTCTCTTCTTTTCATAGACAGACAAATATATGTTGTACTACATTGATTGTTACTTTATAAAACTTACCAAAGCTAATTGCTCAGCATCTTTAAAGGGCACTTCTCTCTCTCTTGCCATATCCATTTTGTTGCCAAGAAGGAGAATAGGTATCCCCTCACCTGCTACTTCCTGGAAATAAAAGGGAATTCTGTCATTTTTAAGTACAATAAACTTCATCAGAATCAAAATATATAAAACTGTATAGATTATATTAATATACCAATAAAGTATTTAAGTAAATTAATTAATTAGATTGATCATGGGGTTAAATTAGAAAAGTAAAAAGTTCAGAAATGATACGCACTACTAAAACATGTACATTCCTTTTCTCTGTTGAGGAGGTTAGGAAATTACACATATAGATTAGTTGCAAATAAGATTATAAGGGAAACTATTGGCTTAACTTATGTCTGAGATTTTACTGTTTAAAAGGAAAATGCATCACAAAATGGCTGACTTCCTGTTTATTATAAAGGTAAAGAGCTATAAGAGTTGAATAAGCAGTAGAGAAATGTCTGTATATGATATGTCTTTCCTATAAAATTAGGTTAACAAAATATGCAGGGCTTTCTAATTTTCTGAAATCTAAAATATATCTAAATTCAGTGAAGCCAAATTCATGCACAAGTTTTTCTGACTTATTGTACATATTTAGAACCCAGCAAAACTTGCAGGTTGTGTCTGTATCTATGCAGACAGATCCTACATTAGGAAAACAACATATGTTTAATAAAGTATTATTAGTGTAATAATCCATAAGAAAATTAATTAATTGGAAGAAAAACAGGTCCACATTGCAAAAACGATCTAGTAAAAATCTATTGAATTAAGTGTATTTACCCTTAATTTGACTAGATGATAAGATAAGATGATTTGCCAATGGAATGAGTATTTTACCCTTAAAATAAGATAATTAGATAATATGCACTTGAAACAAGACAATGCCATTATAAATATAATTTGTCTTGTGCCATTGGCAAAGTGTCTACATTTCCTCCTCAATTCAAGAAAAAAATTTACTTGTTTAAAGAAAAAAATACTTTCAGATTTTATTTTTTTTAGATTATTTGCAGTGCACATTATCACCGATCTCCCACCCTGCCCAACAGTGGGCAAGATCTGTTTTTCAGCATATTTGATCCATAAATCTGAATCCCAAATCATTTAGTGAGTTCATCTACTGTGCAAACAAATGCAAGTTCTCCTTGGTTTCAGATAAACAATAGTGTTCAAAATAAAGAGTAATTGCTTTGAATATATGAAGAGTTTAAAGATGACAGAGTAGACCTAACAAACGTCCTAAACTTCTTGCATAAAGAGTAAGAAATTATGAAGACCAGAAAACAAAAAATCACAATAATCAGTGGGATAAAGCTTAACAGGTTGAATGTCCCACCTGGACATTAAGCAGCCAGGGTTTGACAGCTTTAAAGGTCTCCTGCTCTGTGACGTCGTACATCAACACCACGCCATCAGCCTTGCGAAAGAACTGCTTGGTCATGCTGCGGTACCTGTTTAAAGGTCAGAGAAAATTAGGTAGAATGACAGAAAGCAAAACACTGCTTCTAATATTTAGAACAAATACAAATGCAATCATCTTCCTAGGAATGCCGTGTTTTATAAATAAAACATTTGTTAATCAACTGCTGATTTTATGTTGGATCCCACCTTTCTTGACCTGCAGTATCCCACAGCTGCATTGCTATTTGCATGTTGTCCATGGTTAATGTCTTCACACTGTAGTCAATGCCTAATTAAAACAGGATTTGCATGTAATTCAGATTAAGACATAAGACTAATGTAACAATTACATAACAGGGTAGAAGTTGCTGGTCCCTGCACTACTGGTGTAGAAATAGTGAATTAAATTGATGTATTATGCTATATAACAACCTCTCACACTGATAGTTTTAGGAAAAAACAATCTTTTTTAATAATGCAATGAAATATTGTCTTTTAACAAACCTCCACACTTATTCCAGTACTCTGAGTTGCTTTATTTTTCCACAAGCCCACAATTTAGTGTTCAGGTATAATTAAAATGTGTTTTAAGATCAGTATCTAACTAAAAGCTCAATTTTCCAATTATGGGTAAAGTGTACCAGGTTTTAACTAAAGATATCTTTGTTTTTTAAGAGTTCCTGTCCTTCTTACAAAATTCACAAAACCATTAGAAGAAGACCAGGCCCACACCATCACAGATCTCCCACCATACCCATATCTAGAGTTAGCTCACAGCTTCAGCTACTACAGCTAGAAACCACTGATTATGGCTAAAATCTTTGTGTCATCACAGACTCAGACCTGAAACTTCACAGGGACATTAAGGCAGTTACTAAGTCAGCTGAAGAATATGCCCAGGATTAAAGGACTAATGTTGAAGCAGGATCTAGAAAAACGTATTCATGCATTTATCTTCAGTAGAAATGATTACTGCACCAGTATCTTCACAGGTTTGTCTAAAAATGGCCAAAACACTGCTACCTGTGTTCTTACTAAAACTAAGAAAGTAGAGCACATCAGCCTGTGTTACAGCTGCCTTTGACTGTTGAAGTTAAAAAGTTAACTGGGGTATTATTAATTTAAGGTTGTGGTCCAACTGTTTTATTTGTTTTACTACCTGCTTTATCATGTTTTTATCTTTATTTGATTTTCTTCTATTATTTATATAATTTATCTATAATTATTTCAATTTTTTTCTATTTTATTTTTTAATTCATGTAAAGCAGTTTGAATTGTCCTTGTACTGAATTCTACTATATAAATAAACTTGCCTTGCCTTATCTTACAGCAGGGAAGATCTGCTCTTCAGCATATTTATATTTTTTAGCACCCGATCAACATGTACTACTGGGCCTCAGGATAATGTTGAAATGCTCCTTTTATTACATCGCGTTTAACCCATTAAGTACAAACCAGGAATTAATCAATTGGTACAGCAATTTAAGGTTTATAGCGCCTCTCAAATTAGAGTATAAAATAAAAAAAAAAATCTTCTGTTACAGTTATTTTAAAAAGACTATTATGCATACTAGCAACTGTGCCAGCTCTAATTCTGCTAAAAACAAAAACTTTTAAGATGGGATTAGTTTCCCCTCACTAAAGAAATGTACCAAATTAAATGCTGTATTATAGCTAATAGCTGCAGCTGTAAAATTCATTTTAAGCCTTTTTAAGGCACCAACACTAAAGAATGTGGCAGGCATAATTGATTAGCGAAAGATTAATAGCATGAATGACCACTAGAGGATCGTAGTGACACTTGTAACAGAGAAAAGAGGGTAATGAGACTAAATAACATGAAAGCAGGCAAAAATTCACAAGAAGTGACTTAATCTCCTCAACAAAATGTGTGTGGTCTCTAAAGCAGCCGGCGTGACTTTATAAGCCCTTTCATGTGATGCTTATTCATCCTTCGATCTTCTTTTTCAGAATCTACATCTGTGAACATTCCATTTGTAATTGTTCCATAGACAATGTTGTGATGTCTATCTTCTCACCCACAGTAGCAGTTGTGGACGGTTGGAAACGGCCCTCACAGAAGGAGCGCAGCAAGGACGTTTTTCCCACACAGGAGTTTCCGACCAGGACAACCTTAAACAGGCGGTCGGGGGAAAAAAATGCTCTTTCTTTTGTTTTCTGGGGATAAAAAGATGTGTTGTATTTATGTTTATTTATTGTTAAACTACAATAGCTACAACTTCCCTACATTTTATTACTTGATAGATTGAAGCTGACTTACTGATTGGGTTTCCTTCCCGACAGGCTGGCCTCTTGGAGACACTTGTGTCTGTTTTTGCTTTAAGAGGGATTTTTCTTTAAGAGGAGCTTCAGTGAAAACAGTGTTGTGTCCTAAGGGAGGGGCAATGCTAAATTCAGTGTCACTTTGTGCCTCTATGTCATCCCGATCTTCCTCATTTAGTTGGTGCAGTAATGGTTGGGGTCCACCTTGTAGAAGGTGTGGTAGGTGGTCTTCCTCAATCGAGATTACTCGGCGAAGGGGCCACCCATCCAGGGGCGCATCAAGCAACTCCTCATCTTCCCCCGTCTTCCTCTCACACTCCCCTTTGTTTGCACCCTCTCTGGTGTTTACCAACACCTTCTTGAAAGCAGAGTTTTTTGCAGAAGCCCTTCTGGACTTTGGTTTCACATCTTGTTCTTTGGGTTGCGCTAAGCCGACATTTCCATTGGCTAAGGTTTCAGGTCGCTGCTGACATGCAGTAATGCTGGCAGTGGTGGAGGTAGAGGCATCATCTTCACTGCAGGAAAAGGAAGCAACAAACATGATTTGAAGGTGCTCTATGGGCAAAGCTTCACAAGACTGAAAGGACCCTTCAACCATCAGAGGGTCCCTTCGGGAACAGAGGAGAAACAGAGGATATACAGAGATGACTAGCACACTGCCTGCAAGCTAAAAACCTTTAAATGCTTGTGATGTGTTTTGAATAAATCTTTTACAACGTACAATATTATTGTACTTTTTAACAATTATCCTCTGTTTTTTCTCACCTATAGCTTTAGAAAAGCATGCATATTCCTTTTTTCATGTTACAGTTAAGCACTAGTTTTATGGCTCCTTAAATATACAGAAAACTATTTCAAAAGGAGTTTTGTTGAAATTATAATCTGATTCTAAATGAATTACCTTGCCTGTTGACTTGTTTGGTCAAATAAGTCAGCAGGGTTAGCCTTCTTCTTTCTGAGTGAGGGGGGCAGCTGGTTTAAATAAATAAGAGATGTTGTACAGATTAATCTTCAGTCAGTCCAAAAACATTTTTTAAAGCAGTGCTGACTTACTACACCGCAGCATATGTCTCGCTCATCCTTCAGATGTTTGTTCATCTCTCTGAAATGAACATAGATAATAAAATATTTTATTTAGTTAAAGGTATAGTGAAGGATTTTTTGCAAATTTTTGAAAAGACCCGCCCTCTCCACTTTAAAAAAAATGCACATGCACAACCCATATTTTATTTCTGGGTGGATCATCTAAATAAGTGGTTCTCCTAATTGTCAATCATTCTGGTCATATGTTTACGTAAGGCCGCCCTACGTGCTGCCCCGTTAGCTATCTTTTTCTGCGCATGCGCACTATCAGGCATATATGTCTGTTGTGAGCTACGGTTTCAGACAGTCATTAAAACTTCCCCCTTCTCACCATGGTTCTTTGAAAATGCCCGAAGGTCTTAAGAGAAAAGGTGTCTACGAAGTGTATGAGATGAAAAGAAAGACCTCAGAGGAGGCAGATATATCCCGGAATAGTATGCGCAGAGAACCCTCCTCGCAAAGCATTATGGGATTTGCTGTCACAGCGGCCCGCTGTCGCTACATGACAGCGGCGACTGATAACAAATATGTTCAATGATGGCACCGCATAGTGAAGGAGAAGTTACGTGACCAACAGAACAAAAAGCAGTGATCATCTATGCAAACGGTAAGTTAACTAAGTTTGCTATAAAGTCCACTATATAGTCCTCGCTCTATATAGTGATTAAGGGATTTAGGTTTTAGGTCGGACGTTCGGGCACATTAAGCTTGTATGAGCTATGAGAACAGCAACCTAAACAAAGCGCGCAAGAGAAGAAATGGGCTTGTGTCTGCTCTTGCACGTGCTTTTTTTTTTTTTTTTTAAACAGAGGGGGCGGGTCTTTTAAAAAAAATCATGATTATCCTCCACAATACCTTTAAGTCACATGAATTTAAAGAAAGGTTAGGGTATTGCTCGTTACCTGAGAAGGTCAAGCTGCCTCATGAGGCATTGTTTCTCCCTCTGAAGGCCTTCAGTTATTCTATACATTTCTCTAAAAAAAAAAAAGATGAACACAAGCACAGATTTCTCAGCACAAAAAGCACCAATTGAACCAAATGATTAACCTTCAGATACAGAGTTTTATACCCACATCTCTTTCTCCTGCTGCAGCCTGGCGGCCTGCTTCTGCAGCATAGCCAGCTGCTCCTGGGCCAGAGAGAGCTCCTGGCTGGTGCTCTCCAATGCTCTGGACAACTCCTCATTGGTCATTTTCAGCTTGACATTCTGCACGTGGCTCTCCTGCCTCTCGCTGTTCAGCTCATGGCACTGGATCTCTAACTACCAAAAGTGTTTATTTGTGTTCATACTTATGCAGATGTTTGTAAATAAAATCAAATTATCTGTAGCTAAGCCAACTTCTATGGGTTAATGGTCGTCTTAAAGGGTGAGCAAAATAATATACAAAAGTGAGTCTCTTTTATGTTATGATATGACAGTAATTATGACATTTAACTCCTATTTATTGTGAGAGATGCTGTGGGCTTTTAACGCTTTAACTAAGAATCTACCTAACAAATATATTTTTTTTCCATTTTGGAAAAACACAGTTTTGTTTTCAGCATAGGAAATTGGGTATTTTATTAAGTCGCCAGGTAATGATGGTCTCACAGGTTTAGAAAGTTTGTTTTATTTTCCCCTCTGGACTGCTTTCCCAAGTGATAGCTTTTAAAAATAGGTTATGCAGCCTTGATTGTATTGGTGCAAAGGTGTGTATACCTATGTGTGAATTGGTGAGCATATAGAAATCAAGGAGCAAAAGCCTCCAATACAACAGTGGCACATAATAATAATAACAATAATTGAACTTTGATGATGGAATGGAGAAATTCACTTCTATATCTTAACCCATCCCTTTGCCAATCAGGGCTTAAGGGTCTGGCACAGGGACCCAGAGTGCAGGCTGTGGGGATTGAATTGAGTTCTTGCAACCTATTCAGAGCACAAGCACACTGCTCTAACCACTAGGACACCACTCTCCACATGATGAAATGCCCAGCTCCCCTGACCCAGCTACACAGTCCTCCATAGTGTTGCAGGCTGAGCCTGGGGATGAATATAAAAAGGTACAGTGTGTTTTAAGTTACCCGTTTCTGTTTCTGGAAGAGATGTTCCAGCTCTTTCTCCTTGGACAACAGCTGATACTCCAGCTCCTGGCTGTGCACCTGAAGGCGCTCTGAGTCCTGAGGATCAGAAGACAAATGCTTGATAATCACAGGGCTAAGAGATGCTAATGCCTGAGCATAAAGACCACCTTCAAAGACATAAACAATTAATAAACTACTACACAATAAATGTGGGAAACTTAACAAAGTCCCACCATTTATGCTTAATAACGTTAATCGGGAAGACTAAACATTTCTTCTCTTTGTTAGTTGGACACTTCTATTGTATTAAATAATAATACACAAGGACTGCAACTAACGATTATTTCGCAAATCAATTAATTTGTCGATTATTTTTTCGTATATATATATATATATATATTTTTTTTTTTTTTTTTTACAATTTTGGTATAATTTCTACTCAGGAGTTGTTTGATCTGTCACCTAAAGGCATGTTTTACTGTCTCCAAACTCCAGGCAACGATTAATTGATTAGTAAATTAGTTGATGATTAATTCAATAATCTTCAATTGATTGTTTTAGCCCTATAATACACACACACTTTTTATTTAAACAAGGTATTCTGTCAGGTTTAATAGCACATCAAATCGATTCTCCATTTTCTTTTTCTGCTGCCAACAGAAAATTCGTTTAATTTCCTTTTTTTTGTCTCTGCAGTTGAGCTCCTGTACCTGAAGCAGTAGTCTGTCTTGCTCATTTTTGATCTGTGCCTCCATCTCTTCATACAAGCGCCGGATCTCGCTGTCATGCTTTGCTGATTTCCTGTAATGACGAGAAAGGCATGTTAAAAAAGGAACAGTTCTTTAGGCTCTGCTTGAGGTGATGTTATTCCCACTTTAGATATTAATGATATGTCAAGACACTAGAATGAAAAAAAGAAAAACAATAAGCAGCAATGAAAACGTATCTTATTACCTGAGCTGAATGCTGGAATTTACATCCCTTTGAAAAAAGACCTTTGCAGCTAATTGGTGAAGTAAACAGAAGAGAAGCTGCAGTGCTTTATTTGGTGCCCTAAAAATTCAATACATAGTTGATGCTGGCTGTTTTTTTTTAAGTATAGCTGCAATGTTACAATCTCTATACAACCAGAACATTTTCTTCTGTTTTTTATGGGAGGTAAGGACAGAGGAAAAGGCATTTTATTTCTCAGTTTTACACATTCAGAATATTAATACTTTTCTGCAGTTCAAACCCTCAGATTAACCCTCAATCTACTCAGATTATGGGTCATTTAACACATTTACAATGCTGTAGATTTATAGTGAGAGCCAAGTGTAGCAATACAGCTCCAGCTTTTTTTTATATTCTTTAAAAAAAACGGTGATTAAGAAATACCTCTTCTTACCTCTGAAGGGCACTTTCCATCTCCTTCTTCTCCTCGTGTGCCTCTTTAATTTGGTATGTTACCCTGGCCAGAAATTCTTCAAAGTTGGACAGAAGGTGAGGCTCGTCTCGCCTTAGCTGAGCCCAAAGGCTGCGCACCTCACCTGGACTGGGGAGCAGGGATTTGCTGAATTTACTTTGACATCATTTGATATGTTAATAATTGCAAAACAGCAAACAAAAGAGGAGGTAAAAAACAACAACTTACTCCTCAAACACATTACTAGCTCCAAGACTTTCCAGCAACATACAGAAGTGCCTCTCCTCTTCATCCTCTACCCCTGACAGCTTGGCCTCCCAATGACTCTGATACAGAGCCTCCTTGGCCTTAAAGACAGGCCCTGGGCCCTGAGTCTGGTCATCACTGACAGAGATTCTGCGACCGTGCAGGAACTGACCTGAAGTCCGTAAAAAAGGTTGGATTTTAGGTTTGAACGGAAATGCATGCGTGCAGAATGTGTGTGTCTGTGTGGTTAATGTATCACTGAAACACTTCTTGACGATCAATAGACTGTTATGAACTTCTTTGATATTAAAATAATTTTATCTGATTTTAGAATTTAAATGCTTAGATTCTGTCATTAATTAAGTTCTCAGATGAGCAACTGTAATTCTGATTGCAGCGTCAGTAGTGGGGATCACTGTTTTTTTAAAGCAATTCTTCCTGCACATTTTTACGTTTTGTTACATACACTAAGATGGCATTGCTTGCCTTTTTTACTGCATTGTCCATTTAAGTTCATTATTCTTAAACACAATGTGAAGTTTGTTGTTTCTTCGAAGATCTACCCAGATTGCTGCAGCTTGCATATGGAGGAACCACTGTGTTGGATGACCAACTATGTTCAATCATCCAAAATGGAAACACACACCTCTATGTGGAAGATGCTGCTTTAGGTGTGTGGTGTTTTTAGCAATCTACAAAAGTTATTGTTGGACTAACTGAAAAATAAATGTTTATTTAAATCCAGGGATGAAGACAAACAACTGGAAGAAGTTAGGACTCTCTACAGTGGGATATAGTCAAAAGAAATAAATGAAGGAATAAAAAAAGAGAGGGGCAATTTGAAGAGAAAATAAGACGCTGTGATCATTACTAAAATATAAAAACTTGAAATTTCCAGGGTCACAAGCCATACAGTCAACATTCTGTAGCTTTTGACAATGTATTCAACATTTCTTAATGTTCGAACTAAAAAGAGAGGGATCTTTGAGCATTTCCATTTCTAAAATCTCTCTAGATCATCCATTGTCCTGGATTCTCTCTCTAATTCTCATCTCTTCAGCTTTTCTGTTCAGGTTGTGTCTGTTGGCTAAAGGAGAAGACTGATTTTGTGTATGGTGAACATTTTTTTTATGATTTGGCCTTGTTTGTGTTAATAATACAGCTGAAAAGATATAGCTGTGGTAATTTGATTTTACTTCTCGTGACTACTACATGCATATTTATTCTCTAAAAGTGCTTTTAAGTGTCAAATAATCAGATTGACACCTTTATCTAAGTTAAAATCCGGTAACTATTTATTTTTTATCAGGTTTGATTTTAGATAGACTCCCTGACTACATAGTAATTTGTTTGTTACAACTAAAGATACACTTTATCAAAATATTAACTTGTATTTAATTTTGCAGGCAGTTTGGTTTTATGGTGCTAAGACAATCATATGATTCAAAATAAAATTAAATTATATGGATATTTCTCCATAAACAACTGTAAATGATACATTTCACAGCTTTCATTCAATTTGGCGACACGGTTGATTAATCTACTCTGGGTTTTATGAGAGTGTAAATCTTTCTTTGGACTGAAGGTTAGGTTTCTGATGGCAGGAAACTTACTGAATCTGGAGGAAAATGCCTCCAGCGTGAGGTAACCAGCTCCGTCTGTATCCAGGGAATCAAACACATCCTCAAGCTCCTCTGCAGAAAGAGGCAGCTCTCTGTGGAGCCTCTGTTGTGAGAGCAATATAAACAAACCACAGTTCAACATGCTGGCGGTTAGTGTTTTGCTGTTATAAAGCATTCTGCCTGTGAATGTTGTGCAGGCAGATTTGAAATCTATATAACAACCGATGGCAGCTCCATGTTTCCTCCTAAAACACTGTTTCTAGAAACTTTGAATGCATACTGCATTAAGCCAATATTTCAGAATCCAGACCAAATTACCTGCAAACTCAGCTAAGACACTTTTCATTTTTAAATGGCAATTGGAGGCAATGATCCTGCATATTAAACGATGTAATTGTGTGACTGAGCTTAATTATACTCAAACTTTTTCCATCAGTGCTTCCAGCACTTTTCGGGCTCTTTAAGTGCACTAAGAGGGGAATCTGTGTTATTCAGATGGGAGAAAGAATGTGGAACAGAGCAAAGTCAGGTGCAGCAAAGTGACTCCTGCTTCTTATTCGCTATTATTAATGCAGAGAGGAGAATTAACTGTGCCACAGATAAAAGCATTAACACATCTCCTATTGTTCATTTTAGCAGTTTTATGGATCCAGGCTTTTTTAAACACCTCTGAAAAAATTACTGTCTAGAAAATAATGGAGAAAAAAAAAAAATAATCTGTTAAAACACTGTGCATTGCAGTTATTCACACAACCTAAACTTTTATCCTGTTACCACCACACACTTCAGTTCATCTGTGAGATTAGATTTCGAGCTCAAAGTACTGCATAAGCAAAATAAGTTTTTTTGTTATGATTTTGTAAAACTTCCTTCAGATTTACTAACTTCTAAACAGACATGTTGTGCACAAACTCAGCTCTAAAAGCCTCATTTAAAGCTTTTCACAAGCTATTTAGGAAACACAGCAAAAATGGACAATAGTACTTTAGTCTATTTAGGGAAAAATGAGGCTGGCCAAAATACAATACGCTTTCTAGTGAGAAAAACTATTAACTTCCTTAAGTGGCAGCATCCAGCTGTGGAGGCGAATTTAAGAAGGAAACCTGAAGCTCCAAAAAACCTTAAGGTAGGGTTGGTGGTTCATCTCACAAGCATCAGCCTAAACATAGTTAGAGTTGTAACAGAATGGTTTAAATAGCACTATTTTCATTTGTTAGAATGACCTAATCAAAATCTAGAGCTCAAACCAACTATAAACTTTGATTAGACTGAACCCTGACATTCACAGATGGGTAAAGGGCTTATTAAAGATAATCAAAATAAAGTGAGTTACACTTAAATGTACCTAAACGGTTCTATTTTCTGTGCAAAATTTTAAAATAACAAATTTTCCAACCAATTTAAACATATATTGCATTTTGCATTGGTCTTTAATATGAATTCTAAATAAAATGGATTGATATCTGTTGAAGAAATTGTCAAAGTGCTTGAGGTTTATGAATACTTTGCCCAGAAAGTATAAATATAGATTAAAAGGCTTTTAATACACCAGTTTATCAGTATTTTTTAGAGATAAAAAAAAAAGTATGTCACAATGTTAAAAATCAAACGAACAGCTTTTAAATCTAACCCTCATATCAGTGCGGGTAATGAAGCCTTTTCCCTCCATGTCGCAGGTCTGAAAGAACTCCCTGGTCTTATCCAAGAGGGTGATGTGACCCCATTCCGATCTTCTCTGTTCGTCACCGTTAACCCTGACTTCTTCCTTCTCCATGCTTGGCACTCTTTAACTACAGCCTGTGATAAGTAGCGTGCACTTCAGCGGGAGTCATGGAAAAAGTCCTCTTCACTGGCTCACTTTCCAACCCCCCGGGGCCTTTCAGGGACCATGATGATGGCGGTAAACAGCAGCACCAGACCGTTGAAATTGCAGATAAGTTTGTGAATGTGCTCCAAACTAGGACAAGGCTCTGTATTTACAAAAAAGAAGAAAAAAAAGGGTAAATTTCATGCTTCATTTTTACTCAAGTCTTACTAGAGTATTGAGAGAGGTGGATTTTTTTAATTTATTTTTTTAAAGCAAAGAATTGATGATTACGTCAGCATGCAACTATACTTCCCTCTTTTTGGAGCCAAAAACAAGCAGCTCTGAAAGGTACATAAATGCCTTGAAATGGATTATATTAATTCCCTACCATACAGAACACATGATGGCATAATGCCTGCTAAACTGTGGTGCCGATTCCTGAACAGATGTAGCACCTCTGCTTTCAAACGACCATTTACAATCACGCCTTGGCATAGCAAAGTGGTTCTGCATGTCAGCTCAGCGTGTGGTCACACTTATCTACAGGGCGTTTACAACTCAAATCAACAGAGATGCACTTAAGAAAAAGGTTGTTTTTTAAGAGATGTTCAGCTTTACCAGAACAGAAAACTGATCAAACAGAACAAGCAATATTTGCCACGTTTACCCAAATACTTTTCTTAGAGATTCAGTTTTAAAAAAATACTTTTTTGGAATTTACGCTTCATGGTCGAGCATTTCTTGTCACAACTTCAAGATGAAATAAATCTGCATCAAGAAAACAGAAATTCTCACCTTCCTTGAATGTTAGTGTAGAAGCCTTTATCTAATCTTCATGTCTATAAAGCACCGACCATGTTCTGCATTTTTAAGTCCTGCCGTACAGATGACTGCTCAAGAAGTCATTCTGCAACCATGTGATGCCATGAGGAAGCGGCCTGAGGGTTTTCAGTTCTGGCCCACCCGCTGCTCACATACAGCACAGATGGCTGCAGACCGAACTGTCTGCAGACTCAATATGAGCAGAACATTTATTCTGTATGACGACAGAAAGTTAAAACAAAATTTGCTTCCACAGAAGTTTTTATTTATTTTTTAAAATTTCATTTTAAACAGGAAACCAAAAAAAAACAAAAAAAAACAGAAGTACATCTCTGGATACACAACAGCACCATCTTGTGGTCGACAATGATGTTTCCCATCGTTGGGCGATTTTGGATTGCCTTTGCATACAAATCCAGATGCACAATTCAAAACAAAGTGTGTAAAAGTTTTTCCTCAGCTACAGCTGAGAAACAGCAAGAACCAAAAAAAATCCTTCAGTTACAGAGAAGTCATTCATTTGTCCCTTTGATCTTCTGTAGCAAATACTCCATCTGCACATTCAAGTTTGGCTGTCCTTTCTTTGTCTTTTTGCTCAACATCTGGAATTTTTCAATCTTTTTTTGTTTGTATTTCTGAATAGCCTCTTCTCTCTGTTGCTTATTCTTCAGGTACTCCTGGAATAAGACATAGAATAATAAAAAAATTTAAAAAACAGTCAAAAAAAAGTCGGTGAGCTTATGTGACATGAAACAAAGAAAGAGCCTTTACCTCCTTCTTCTGTCTCTTCTTTTCCTTGATTTTCTCAAATTCCTCCTTGGTCTTCTGATAAGAAGTTTTCCTTTGCATTTTCTTTCGCATGCGGTTGCTTATTGGTAATCTTAAAAACAAGAAAAAAAGATTTATATATATATATTTCTTTTTAGAAAAAATAGATATATAATCATGAAAAAATGAAAAACATCAAATGATTACAGTAATTTAGGATAAATGATTCTGTGAATCATTTGTTGCAAGGAATATCGCCTTTTTTTTTTTTTTTTTTTTTAAATAGAGCAGAGCATCTGCAAAATATTCACAGCGCTGCATTTTATTTATTTATTTTTTTACATCTAGGGATGGAACAGCCTTACTCCACATGGTTTCAATCTCAGTTTCCTTGGAGATCTACACATAAAACATTAGTTTGAAAATAAAAATTTAATAAATAAAAAGGTGACTTTGAGATTGTCGCAAATTTATTGGAAATAGAGAATTAAGAAACCAAATTTACTTGGTGTAGATTTGGTGACAAAAGCTTAGCAAACCCATCTTAGGCTGTTTTAACCATTCTTTGCAGTCCATAAACTATTAGTTTGATGGGAGTCGTCTCTGCACAGATCTCTCCCTGAGTGGTCCCAATGAGCAGAGGGATCCTGGCTTAAAGGAATAGTACACCTAAAACATGATTAGCCTTCATTTTCTACTCACCCCCATGCTGAACAAAACTCTGGAGTACTTTTTTGATATCTCAAATGCATCTGGAGATCTGGGAGGCTTCTTGCTGTTTGCTGACATTCAAATAATGGAGGTCTATTGTGCCTGAGACAGAAGGGTCCATAAAAGTCCACAGAAAACGTGTCAATATTCCTCCATACTGCTCATCCAATGTATTCCAAGTGTCCTGAGTAGGTAGCATCCAGAATTTACTCGAAACGAAGTCATTTAGAATGTTTTTAGAGCATAAACAGTAGTGTATAGGATTTCCTGAAAGCGCGCACATGCGCGCTCCCGACGCTACGGAAGCCGGCAGACCAAACCAGATGAAAGTGCGCATTCAGCTCGGCAAAGAACTCATGCTCTTCCTCAACACTGAAGTCCTCAGACATTTTTCTTTCGTTGTTTCTTTCTTTGCACAGGTAAACAGCACATTTCTTCTTCTACGCTTGCATTATTGGCAGAGCAGACGCTGAATGCGCACTTTCATCTGGCTTGGTCTGCCGGCTTCCGTAGCGTCGTGAACGCGCATGTGCGCGCTTTCAGGAAATCCTATCCACTACTGTTTATGCTCTAAAAACATTCTAAATGACTTTGTTTCGAGTAAATTCTGGATGCTACCCACTCAGGACACTTGGAATACATTGGACGAGCAGTATGGAGGAATATTGACACGTTTTTTGTGGACTTTTCTGTCTCGGGCGCCATAGACCTCCATTATTTGAATGTCAGCAGACAGCAAGAAGCCTCCCAGATCTCCAGATGCATTTGAGATATCAAAAAAGTACTCCAGAGTGTTGTTCAGCATGGGGGTGAGTAGAAAATGAAGGCTAATCATGTTTTGGGTGTACTATTCCTTTAAACACCGAGTGGTTCTGAAGCCCCTCCTTTGACATCTCTGCTTTCTGCTTATGGTTTTTGTCCTGTTGAAAACTCAGTCTACTATTTTAAATTTGTTTAAACACATTTGAATTTCTGTCTTAATCTGTTAAGTTCTGCAAAATCTTTAATTATTTTATTGGAGAGTTTTCCAACAAGATCACATTTAAAAGCTATATGTCCAGATTCTCTGGAGCAGGTTTTCATCCACAATGGTTCACTACATTGATTCTTTTTCATGCATTTAAAACATTGCCATAATATAAAGCTTTGTCTGGCTACTTTATTGCAGCGGTCTGATCAGTGGATTGATTCTTCTCTCTGGACAGAGGAATGCTGGAGCCCTGACAGACTAATAATCACATCCCTAAGATGACTAAGATTCCCCCCTGTTCACTCAGTTTTAACTCCTTGAAAAAGTCCTGCTGGTTCCAAACTTCTACCATTTACAGATATAGGGGCCACTGAACTCATGGGATGTTTAAAGATGCATTCATTTTCTGTTTCCTTCACCAGTTTTGTTGCCTTGACACAATCATGTCTCTAAGGTCTACAGATGATTTCATGCATCTGCAAGGGGTTGTCACAGTATCAAATTTCAAACTAGATACCAAGGTAAATATCCCATCCTTGATACCATTTGAATAAAAAAGTCAAATAACTAAAGGCACAAATAGATAATTATTGACATGAAAAACCCACCTAAATGTAAAATGTAACCCTAAATGTAAAATAATTACCTCAAATATAACATAATTGGATTATATTTTTAGGTTATATGAGGTTTTATTTTTTTAATCTACAAAATAATAAAAAAAATACTCAAACACTTGTATTTAGTATTAACACCATTAAAAATTAGTATTTTATCTGGATACAGCTTTATAGTGTTGATACTTTTGACAACCCTACTGTCTGACATGCACTGTAGGCTGTGGGACGTCATTTACAGGAGCGTGCTTTTCCTAATCAAATCAAATTAACTTAATTTAACACATCTGGGTTCAGTTTAAGCTGTGAAAAAAAAAAAAAAAGAAATTACTTTCTAACATCCAACACTACAAAATGAATAATGAGAGGTTGTATAATTCCAGCCCATATCAGTGGGTCAATATCAGTATCGGTCCATACTGAAAGCTGCCATATTTCTATCGCATCAGAAATGGAAAAGTTCTATCGAGACAATTCAAGTAATAATCAAGAGATAATAACTTAATATCATTTGGAGCTAATCTGTAGCATCACTGAAAGCGGAGGAAGTGCGGCGCTGTGAATACTTTCCGGATTCACTGTAGAAACATCAGTAAATGAGGACGATTTTAATCAGGGTTTATACAGTAATGAATAACTCAAATTTAATGCTTATTAATATTCTTTAAATGCTCTTAGAAATAATTTTAATGCCACCAACAGGTACCCGTCGACAGGCTGCAGCCATGTCCTGAATTCCTCGTTTTCCAGCCACTTTTGTTGAAATGTGCTTTTTTCCTCCCATTCTGTAGCTTTTTCTCCGACTCAAGCTTCTTTTCTGAACATACAGCTTTGCGATCAACCGGAAGCAGTTCCACGCAAATATATCGTGATATAATATGTCTGACGAAATTGTTTTTATAAAAAATTTTTTTTTAAATAAAGCATTTTAAATGCCACAATAAACACATTTAATTAATTTTAATGCCAATTAAGGCCTTAATTTAAAAAATAATATTTTAATGACTTTTAATGATTTTTAATGACCCACAGAAACCCTGTTAATTATGTGTTTTACTAGCTTTATGTTTTTTCTTAATTTTTCTTCTTTAGATTTTGTTTGGTCCATATTATTTCCGACTCCATTCCAGCTTCAGAAAATTGTTTAGTTTTCTCAAAATCTTCAACCTCTATTGAAATACATTTCACTGCTTAGACAGATGAATAAATTAAATATGTTTTTAATACCTTTATTTCTCTGAAAAATATTACATAGATAACAGAACTAAGCATTTATTAATTCTGACTACATAATTTCTTTAAAAAAGCTAAACTATCTCCTGCTTTTCTTCCTACCTTTCTTTCTCTGCTGTTGGTGTGGATTCAGGGTTATCAGGAACAGAATCCATCAGATCTGATCCTGTGGTAAAGTCTAGTTCAGCAACATCATCATTTCTATCCTCGTCTTTCAGCTTCCCTTTCATCCTCAGTTTGCTCCTGTTCGCTCTGTTCTTCAAGGCTTCACTCCTCAGTTTCTCCTCCTCTGCCAGGTATAAATGCTTGAGGTGTTCTGGGTACTCCTCCTTGTACACCACTTTAACCTCAGGGTTCTTCTTATGCTCCCGTCGCAGCAATTTATTGTACTCATGTTTGACTTTCTCCCTTTTCTTAAAAGCAAACCCTTGACCTAAGGAGAAAACAAAATATGACAAATTAAATTGATAATCTGTTAGTTTTAACAGCTATTCAGGAAATCTGTGTAGGTTTCACACAGAATGAACTAAGAGTTGACTGATAGTCTGTAATATGCACACCAACCCTGACACAGCCATAAACGTCAACATATTTCTTAGGTCTTGACGAGGGATCAAACAATTAATTGCATTAATCAGGGTCAATCGATTATTGAAATGATCGTCAACTAATTTAGTAATCAATTAATCGTTAACTGGAGTATAGAGATGTACCTTTAGCTGACAGAGCAACCCACTTAGAGCAGTAATTATACCAAAGTTGTAAAATATACAAATATAAATAGATGTGTAAATCACCACCATCATGGCGATTCGATTCAGTATCAATTTCCTGACCCAACCATAGATTATTTTCGATACTGAAGAATACACCACGAAAGGATTCAATTCAATTAATAGGTTAATTTCTTTTTTTTTTTTTTATCTTACAGGCTAGACAATGTTTCAAATTTGAAATAAATCAATGAAAGCTGTAATATGGTTATGCATTTAACTTGAGAACAGCAGCAAATAACAGAAGTAGCAAAGTTGTACTCCACCTAGGCCTATGAAAACCTTATTCACTGAACAATAATAATGCCTCTGTGTTCTAGATTGCATCAAAAAATACTGCAAGCGGAAAGAGGGTAGTGGCTTAAAGGAATAGTACACCCAAAACATGATTAGCCTTCATTTTCTACTCACCCCCATGCTGAACAACACTCTGGAGTACTTTTTTGATATCTCAAATGCATCTGGAGATCTGGGAGGCTTCTTGCTGTCTGCTGACATTCAAATAATGGAGGTCTATGGCGCCCGAGACAGAAAGGTCCATAAAAGTCCACAAAAACGTGTCAATATTCCTCCATACTGCTCGTCCAATGTATTCCAAGTGTCCTGAGTGGGTAGCATCCATAATTTACTCGAAACGAAGTCATTTAGAATATTTTTAGAGCATAAACAATAGTGTATAGGACCTCCATTATTTGAATGTCAGCAGACAGCAAGAAGCCTCCCAGATCTCCAGATGCATTTGAGATATCAAAAAAGTACTCCAGGGTGTTGTTCAGCATCGGGGTGAGTAGAAAATGAAGGCTAATCATGTTTTGGGTGTACTATTCCTTTAAGAAAGCGAGGGTGGAAGGCAAAATAGGTTTAGCGCCACTGCAGCACAGGAGTCAGAATTACGTTCAGGAGGAAATCGATAAAAATAGAATGAATCGATACTCTTGCTGACGTATCGTTTTGTATCGATGCATCGGATCCTCGGCTGTTGGATCGATGCACCGATACAAAATGATTATTATTTACACAATTATATATAAACACTTTGCATTTAAGATAAAAATGTCCTTGTATGTCAATATGATCTATCCAGAACTGCTCAAGTTGAAAAGTTTCAGTTTTACCTGGTTTAATTTAGTAAATAATCTTCTTTAAGGAACCTTTGACTATTCAATTAATTGGAAAAAAATAATGGACGGATTAATCAATAAGCAAAATATAGTTTGTTTCAGCCCCAGAATTAACTGATATACTATCAGACAGAAAGGAATAATAGTAGTGAGGCTATAATAGTGAGGCTAAAGGACAGGTATATGTTGATGTTTTTGGCTGATAACTTCTAAACAGTTTGAAGTTCAATTTGTAATGAGACCACTTTACTCTAATGCTTCTAAATAAAATGAAAGGAGTACAAGGGAGCAAACCTGGAGAGATGACCTTAATGTGGACATAAAAATGGACACAAAATGTGAACGTAGAATAAAAGGGTGATTTCCAGTTTTTCAGGAGGACAGTGAACTAAACACACAACCAGAGCCTCAATGTAACTTTACCCCTCTCTGTCTTTCAGAACTGCTTTCCTGCTCCTTTTCATTTGTCATTATTAATGTGTAATTAAATTCTGCAAAGTCTTAGAAATGACTTAACTGTTTTATTGTAGTGTTTTCAAACAAGATCACATATAAAAGCTGCAAGACAAAGCTTTAAGGACATTATAAAAAGTTAAATTCAAAAATCATCTACTCCAAAGTCCAAAATAAAACTAAATGAGTATCAGTGATGGGAAAAAAAACATTTATCAAGACAAACTTACCTTCTTTAACGCTGCCTTCAAATACTTTGTTGTGTGGGATCCACTTCTTTTTCTTCTTCTTGTTTACCCCACTAAATGCTTTCCTTCCTTTATTAAAATTTGGATCTTTAATTGAAGCTTTGTCATGTTTTCTCTTCTGGTCCAACGGCGCCATTTGAACATTAAATTATCCCGAAAAACAAAGACTTTTATGAGTACTCGCTCATGCTTTTCCAGCTAGCTAGGCTACAGCTGCATGCTGATTTCCTGCGTACGCTGCGTGATGAGGAAACTCACCGAGGCATGATAAATCAATTGCAGAAAAACTAATTTAAAACAAACATTTAAAAAATTGTACACCTATGAATTATATTATTTAATAAAGACATTCGAAAGTTTTCATACATGTGTAATCTGTTATGTCCTAAAATAATAATTATTTGATAGCTTAGCAAAGCCCACCATTAACAGACGCGCCTTTAAACGGTCTTTTGCGGGGTAGGACATAACTAATAGCAACTTAAATCTTGAAAACGAATATTTTCGCACTGGATCAGATTTAAAGAAAAACATATATGCTATGAACAATGAAAACATAACGGGAAAACACGACGAATATAGCTTTAAGTCATCGACTAGTGTTTTCGATTGCTAATGTCTTACACCGTCATCAGCAGAAAAGGGTACACATGCCTTTCTGGTCCTTTTTAGAAAGCTTTTCACAATGACGTCCTTCCGCTGCAGCCTTACGGAGATTCACCAACAGATAGATGAAGTCAAGAGATTTCTGTCGGTGACTCTTGCCATCGCTAATGCTCACACAGTCGAGTTTTATACCCAAGACGTGTGGAAGCGGTTCATGGCTGTGTCGCCTCAGGAGGTGCTGTCAGCGATCAGTTCCGGCAGTTACCAGCAGGTGGAGACAAAACACAAAGAACTGGGTAAATAAAGCCAGAGAGCAACAGTGCTTTCCTTTTATACATCTCCATTTAACTTGTTCTCATTTATGGAAGGATAAAAACAAAGAAATTTTTAAAAAGTTAGTGTAACTTACATTACAAATAAAAACCCTACATTAAAAATCATTTTTCTAGCCTTTTTCACTGATGTCTTGCCATCTAAACATATGAACGCATAATGGATGATCTAAAACATACTGTTGTATCTTAAACTGGATGTTTGACTTCTTGTGTGTTGAAGACAACTGTTCACCTCAGCATGATTCTGCCACCATTGTGTTTCATAGTGTGTGTTGCCCAGCAACTCACCAGGAACCTTTGGAGAAGATGGATAAAAATATATTTTTTTAAATTCTCTATAAAATTAGGAACATTATTGGTGAACGTGAACATCTGTTTCAGAAGCCTTAAGCAACAACCTTGCTTTCATTAAGAGGCTTCTCCAGATCTGCTGCAAGACAGAACATACAGGAGGTCCTTCCTGCCAACAGCTAATAACATCCACAACAGCTACTTAAAAAAAAATATGGAACAAGATTTAATTTCCCCCTTTTTAGTTGAAAGTGTTTTTTAAGTAGTTTGTTTACTTTTTGCTCTTCTAGAAAGACCAGATTTGTTGAGTGTATGACTAATAGTTATTGATGTTGATGCATTCTCCCACCTGAGCTGTGTGTCTCTCCAGCTCTGTAAGACACCCTTAGGACATCTTTGAAGTAGCTGCAGAGCTTCTTGATTCATATCTTTTAATTAACAGCTGCAGCTTTTAACTTAGTCCATATTTGCCCTTTTAGAAGAGCCTATACACATAAGGATTCCATAAACTCGTATTGTAAAATCAAAAAATTCATTAACTGAAATTGTTTGGATGCATCTTTATTTTGCTGTTGAATTAATGTATCCAAGCTTATATAAAAAATGAAGATAAATCCAAATTGTTTGCATCGCTTTGTGTCTTTTACTGTGTTTTTCCTCAGAGCATTCCAGGACTGCATTCGGGTTTTGTGTTGATTCAAACCGGCTGGTTGATATCCACGAGCTGTTGGAGGCAGCCAAGGCCCGATCCCTGCCTGGCCTTGGGGTGTGTGTGAGCAGGGATGAGCTGTTGCAGCGCCTCAGAGGCAGCGAGTCGGAGTCTGCAGAAAACAGTAGGAGACAAAGCACCTTTATGCTGCTTTATGCAAGAATAGAATACCGGCAGAGGATTGTCCTGGAATGTGCAGCTTAGATCATGGCTTTTTTATTGTTATAATATTTTTTTAGGCCTAACTGGAATAAAAAATGAATAAGAATTGATTTTTCTTTGTAACGCAGCCAGCGAACTGGATCCAGATGAGTTCATGAACTTTAAGAAGTCCCATGAAGTCCAGTGCATGTCTAAAGTGGTGGCCGGTTTGGCTAAGCACTGTGGAGTCAAACAGGTAGAGTAACACTGATAACATCACAAGTTTATCCCAGTGGTGACTTCAAATGTAAATTTCAATATTGATATTTGAATAAGTCTAAAGACAAACATAATGAAAATATCAATTACATTTTAGGTGATAGATGTGGGGTCAGGGAAGGGCTACCTGAGCTCCTTCCTGTCACTGCGGTATGGCCTTCAAGTGTTCGGCATCGATTCCTCTGATACTAACACCCATGGTGCTCAGGAGCGGAACAGAAAGCTTAAGAAGTTCTCACGAGCATACCAGAAACACAAAAAAGCAGCATGGACACAAGTGGAAGCTCCATCCTCGCTTCAAGAAGAGATGGTAGAAATAAAACCTGAACTGAGTCAGGACAGCTGTGCTCAGCAGGAAGAGGGGCTGTCCGTCAACGCTTTACACTCTGCTGCAGAAACACAGGCAGAGCTGAATCCAGAAGAAGGAGAGTTTTTTCTGAGGGCTCTTTCAGCAGATGTGATTCAGCATTCATCCCCAAGATTTCCTCCAAGTCAGCTCAGCGCTGAGGAGAGGGAGAGGAGGAAGAGAGAGAACCTGGAGAAAAAGGCTCGGACCAGAGGAGAAAGCTCCAGTGGCGTGTTTTCACCGCTCACGTCGTATGTCACGGCAGAAACTGAGCTGAGAGAGCTCATCACAGAGCTGGAGGTAAGAATGTGCAAAAAAACATTTTGAGAATGCATTTATTATGTGTCAGACAGAGAAACCATATGGTTTAACAGCAAACCTGATTCCCACCACAGCTTCTAAAATTACAGCTGCTGGAATGGAGAGAGAGAGAGAGTGAGGGGTGTAGCTGCTGTGCTGAATCTACAACAATCACCATCAATAAATTCTGCCATCGATCTTCACCTGTCCTCCTCTTTCCCTGCATGTTTTCTCCACACTCTAGGAAGCCATCCTGGTTGGCCTGCACACGTGTGGAGACTTGGCTGCAAGCACCCTGAGGATGTTTGTGGCTAAGCCGGAGCTGTCCGCAGTCTGTGGCGTGGGCTGCTGCTATCACCTACTCTCTGAGGAGTTTAACCCAGACGGACAGGGTAACCAATTATAATCATTGGAATTATAAAGTAAAACTAAGTTGTGAATTTTCATAAACCATAAAAAAAGGAAGTTGCAACAGCAGAAGCAGAGAAACCACTTTACCCAAACTATTCCAAAAAGAATAAGTTTTCCAACTTTCCAAAGTCAAGTGCTTCTTAACTCTATTAGTCTTCACAGATATTAACACTCTTCAGTGCCGATGGTGTTACTGGCAGTAGAAGACTCAAGTTTTTAAAAGTTGCTCTCAATGTGTTTTTTTTAGAATTAAAGCCAGAGAAAGCAAAGAGATGGGATTAAGACGTTGACTCTGTGAACATTTATTCACAATAGTAAGAAATGAAGAAGTGGCATAATTTTTAGCAGTGGCTAAACAGAGCACTACAAATGTTTTTTTTTGTTTTAATATTTTGAGTTGTTCAACATCTGTTTTCTTTCAACATGGAGCATTTAGCTTTGTCTATATTCTATAAAAGGTAAGGGTCTATATTCACTCTAAAGAATACACATGGAGACAGCTGTTTTCATATTGCTAACTGTGCTCATTAGGAAAATAGCTAAGGGCTTATGGAGAGTTCAACATATCATCATTTTAGATTGTCAAATATTAGCACTAATAATAAGTTCTTGCAAGGGGGAGAAATGGCTGTTCTTACATCTTCCTATGCTAAGGAATGACCTGGATCCACCAAATAATTCACAGTTAAAGCTGTAAAAACATTTTTTTTTAAGTTTGTCAAATGTTACTATAATTTTAAACCCACAAACAACCTCTTTTGTTGGTAACTGAATGAACATCACTTCATCTTTTGTACATTTATTCATTTTTTTCTCAATTAACAAAGATTACTTCTTCCAAACATGTGCAGTATTTACATATAAATTCATCCGTCGGTCCATAATTTTTAAAGTTAATTCTGTTACAGCCTATTTACATGTATTTGTTAGTTCTGATCTCTTTTAGGCCAGCTAATAGGACTTTATGATCAAAATCACACAAATATGACGTAATTATTGAACTCTTTTACTACATTTTCCAGGTAGACTATATGTAAATCAGAGACACCATCATTTAAATCCTTGGCTGTCAAAGCTGTTAAAAAAAATCTCTGGGAAAGGGGGGGTTCAGCTTCATCTCTCAAAAGTAAGACATGAAACGAAAGCCAGTGCTAATGTTTAGTAAAGAATAGTGATTTTTTTTTTTTTTTTTTTTGCTATTTACAGCAGAAAAATACCAAAACAAAAAAATAATTCAGAAAGAGCAACAAAAGAAAAATATCTTCCATACAAAAATAACCAAATTTCACAAAAAAGCTTCATATATCAGAAAATAAAAAGTAAACCAGCTATGTAAAATTACTGACTATGTAAATGAAAAATAATGTTTTTGTTTTTCTGGGAACTTCATTGTGGTGCTGTTTGACTCAGGGTTCCTATATTCTGATCATATCATGACTGACATCACCAACCCGCATTCCAAGAGGCCATATAAAAAAAATTTAATTTGTCAATTATTCCACAGTGGTTGAAAAGACTGAGCCAAGTTTAAAATCCTGAGATCTTTTTGTGCTCAAGGAATCAACTAACGGAGTCCTTAGCAGTGATTTACAGAATCAGAATGGCTGCTGAAAGGTCAACATTTTAAAACCTTTTTAAGTAGAGAGAAATTTGATTAAAATGAACATATTCTGCAGCGCCTGTCTGTAAAGAAATCCAATACTCTTAAGTAGTTACAAATTTTCTGTAATCTGAGAAAAACCTCACCGCCTCAAATTTGTCAAAACATGGCATCACAATCAGATTTTTTTGTAAAGCAAATCAGTTTCTGTTTTCTTTGGAATGACATCTGTTGACAGCCTGGCTTTCAGCATTAGCAGTCTCAGAGCTCTTCTCTGCATAGGACCAGAAAATGATACCATGACAGCCGATTAAAAACATTTTTTTCTTTTTAACGAAGGCGTTAAAAATCTTGTAGCGCGAGCTGCAGACCAGTTCACACAGTGGCCCATCTTACTCTAACATTCAATTAGAAAGCTTAAGCACTGCATTGCACAAGGCGGTTATATGTTTGTTTAGGCTGCTGGTTTCAAATATATTCAGTTCTTTGAAATGAATTATCCATGGATAATAACTCCTCTGGAATCAGGATGGTATTTTATAACAGAAACAACACCTTTTCTGAAAGAACAAAGAGATAAAACTGCAGTTTATAATGGCAGTTTAGCATCAGATCCAGCTTTAACGCTCTATCAGCCTCTCCTGTTGGATTCAGCCATATGACCTGGCTTTGATTTCATAATTTATAGCATGATTATTGCTAATTAGATACACCCAACATGAGATCCAGGTTTATAGATACTGTAAAGCTCAGGCAAATGTATATGTTCTTTGCTTTCAGGTCAGTTCTAAGCCTTTCTTGGCAAATGGCGACACATGCACACCACGTTCTGTGTGGTCTCATTTAGTAAGCTATGCAACTCCTCTACCACTACAAGCTGTCACAACAAGGTGATCCTTTTCTCCATAGTAAACCATACAAGAAAATCCTAGATGTGGCAACAAAGAGCCAAAAGTAAACATACTCGGTTAGAGAGGCTGATTTTAACACCCATTCTTTCAGGTTATTGCATCTCCTTCATTTTCAAGTAACTGCTTTGCTAAATTTCATGCAGACAGGGGGAAGAGGTTTGTCCTACTCATTTGTTTCTCTGTGCTGTGCAGAGGTCAGTTATCATGGCTGCTAATCTAACTGTCGAGAACTGCTTAATCTGACCACCTTACATGAAAGGAGGATGGTATTGGTGCCGCCTTACACTGCAGCTGTCTTCATACACTGTTCCTTACCCTCGGTCACCGACCCCTTTTAGAAATGGCATAAGAAGGATGTCAGGCTGTCTAGTAAGAACATCCACCAACCTCCCATTTGAATTATGTTCAAAGGCTCTTAAAACTCCCTTAGTTGGAAATATGTGATTCTTATTGCTTAAAACCTACAGCTGCAGACCCACTGTAGTTTTTATTTTTTTTTATAGATGAACTTTCACCCTAAAACTGCTTCATTTCGGTTTGGCTCATGTATATCAATCATAGTTGCACACTCTTTTCAATGCAGATTGCATTAACAGCCCGATAACAGTTTGCAGGAGTTGACTATTTCTTGCAGAAAAATCTGTGCAAACAATTTATTCAGACTTTGAATTAAGTATTGGTTTCTTGGAAAACACATTATGTAAAAGCAATTGGATTAAAACACTGTCTTTGCTTAAATGCATTCATATTTTTGCTTCTGGTATTTCTGCTTAGCTTTACGTATGTTTTATTTGCAGGAAAATAATTTCCTAATTTAATGCTTTTCATGCAAAAAACCCCAAAACAAACACTCTTATTGACTACTTAAATTTGCTCCATCATAATAAATCCCAATTGAATTACATTGAAGTTTCTAAATGTAAAAACGTACATTAATTCCTGCTGTTGGGTGTTACTTCATAAAACACAAATACATGCAGATGCAAGCTTACATCTGGCCTGTTTTAAAGAGGTATTACATTAGTGGAAAAACATTTCCGGGGGCTCAAATGTTCAGTCAGCAGACTCTGAGTTTATCTCTGCTCCCTCACAGAGAAGCCTCTGCAGACTGCGTGTGGTTTCCCCCTGAGTCAGTACCTCCGCCATCAGTCCTGGTTCTGTGGCAGAAATGCCAGGATGTCAGCATGTTTGGTGAGTGCGATGACACGAAGAAATGTGTGGTGTCAGGCATGTCTTTGTTAACAAAATCCTTAAGCCGACGTTTAAGAATGATGAACAAACCAAGGCAGCTTTCATCACCCACAGATGAAGGTTGCACTTTCTTAATTATTATATTATGGGGCTGTGGGGAAAGATTTAAAACGCATTGGCTAGTAAGGGAGGATTCAGCTCTTATGGTCAGAGTAGAAGTGAGTTGATATAAGCCAAATTCCTCTGGGGAGACAGTTGGCAAAAAAAAAAAAAAAACTCAAACTAAATTTTAAGAGACCCATGCAAAGCTTTCACTTCGAAGTACGTAATTTATATTAATTTATATTTTAATAACGTATCATTATCAGGGTTTGCACATTTATGCATACACATTATTCGACTTTTATTTCAACAAATATGTTTACATTTTTGCACCGAGTGGGATGAATATCACATTATTTCTTCATAAAAATGTAAAATTATTTAGCATGGCATCATTTATTTACATTATTAAGAAGCTGCTTACACTTATGAGAGCCAAACCATTTGTGGAGGACTCAAAAAGAGGATTTTAAACCTAAAAACATGATTCATCTGTTAAGCATAGTGGCTGCAGCATGGCCTGTAGTTATAAAGCAGTTTCTCAAGTCAAGGAAATCCAAAGTGCTTTGCACTACATTTTAATACTCTTTATTATGAAAGCCAATTGTTTCCTTTTATGTAAAATGTAAAAAATGCATCAACTCATTGCACACTGGAAATAATCGAAATCTAGATAAGTAATTTTTTTTCTTAAAATAAGTGCATTTGTTCTTGGATTGATGAGGTAAATGAGACATCTTGCAAATGAAACAAGACAATTTCAACTAAAAATAAGAAAACACAATTGGGTTGTCTTATTTCAAGTGCACATTATCCAATTATCTTATTTTAAGAGTAAAGATATTGATTCCATTGGCAATCTATCTAATTTACCTCCTCAAATTAAGTGTATTTACCCTTAATTTGAGGAGGTACTTCTAGATCGTTTTTCCAGTGTAGCAACAGTGGAGAGGAAAGACTCCCTTTTAACAGGAAGAGACCTCCAGCAGAACCAGGCTCAGTGTGAGCGTCCATCTGGTGAGGCCGACTGTGGTTCAAGGAGACAGAAGCAGAGATCGAAAAGGCAACTGTCAACCAGCTGGCCCCCGTCCAGGAAACACACAGCCAGGCAGATGAGCTCAGAGCTAGCTTCCATGTCAGAGGATGAAGAGAGCACATCCAGCTAGTCACAATCAGAGAAACAGGACTACACTGAAAAACAGGCCGAGCTCATATATCTATAAACAAAGGTGCTGATGGCAGCAGAACAGCTGATATTACGATCCAGGATGGAGTCACAGCCAAACAGGAACAGACCAGATGAAGCTACTAGTAGAAAAATATGCCCACACCAACGCCTCATTTACTCCATGTTTGGTTGTTTTCATTTCCCGCACAGAAGTACATGCATTATGCAATTTCTGTGTATTAAATTATGCTAGCCTAGTCCACAGGTCCGTGATTATTAAGATGCAGATATGGAAACATCAGTAGTGCTGCCATATTTTTTTTAAGAAAGAAAAGGTTTTCTCTTTGTACACTCTGGGAAATTTTGGCATCTTTCTTAAATACTTTAAAGCAGCAAATTATATTTCTGTCTGCAGCAAAGCATGTGAGTTATCATATAATGGGAAGCTACAGCTGATGTCCTCATGTCTGCTGATTTTTTGCTTGGGCTTGAGTTAAAATTCACCTTTATGCTCTTGGAAGACAAACTAATAAAAGTTGTTCACTTTATATCAGTGGTCACATTTGAAATCCTTGTAGAAACAGTGTTTGGCAGATTATATATTATATACATAGAATTGGCTGTAACATTTTCATAACCAGAAAGCAGTTTATTATATCAATCTTATTTTTCTACCAAACAGGCGCTGGAGAGGGTCACCCTTGGCCAGAGTGTAAGTAAAGCATTCCTACTTATCATTTTCAATATAATTAACTAGAAGTAATCATTACAGAAGAGTCAAATCATCCTGAGCAAATCTTTCATTACTTTTAACTAAACAAATCTATCAGCTCATTTCAAACCTCAAACATGCACAATTAATAACCTCCCGGGCTGCTTTATCATCACTGTCGATCTCCTGCGTGCATTTAAACAATCAGTCCATTCATTTAGGAGTTGTTTTAAGTCTTTGATTGACTTTGGTGTATTTGTACGAAACATTGAGCTAAGAGGCTGCGAGCCAAGTTCGATACATGATACCGTCTGCCATTAATATGGAATGTTTATAAATATTAATGTAATCATGGAAAGATTGATTATTACTGCTGTAGCCGAGGCTTGAATCCAAAAACAGGCTTGATTGCCTGCTTGTGTTGCATTAAGTTTGTGAAAATGTCAGAAATATTCATCCACAATGTTGGAGCATATGCTGGGAAATATACAATAAACGGCTTTATGTGTTTATTTTTTCCTTCAGATTCAGATGGAGTCTTTGTTCTATCGAGCCGTTCTTCACGTTATTCTGAGGGACCACTACAGCTCCTACAAAAGGTAACAGGACCTGATTTTTTGTTGTTTAATGGTTACAGAAGGATGGTAAACAGAGCAGGCGTCAAGCTTTTAAAGCAGTTCAAAGGGTTTGTTTTTCCTGTACTGAACTGAGAAGGGAACCTTTTTTTTTCTGGTTTGTTTGAATTCCTAATGAACCAAGACCTGCAAACAAAAGCCACATGTACTCAGTTATGGAGCAGCCCATGAATCATATCAGACCTTTCAGAGCTGAAAATAATTCTGAGACAAAGATCAAGTCAGAAGTGTTGACAGTCGTCTATTAAAGCATTTAAGATACAAACAGCCACAACTAAAGCGGAAAGTTGACAAAGTACTGACTGTGTAGCTTTCAGATATTAACCCGATATGATTTCTCCCGTGTTTACAGCATCATAATGGACCGTTTTATTCCGTCATTCAGCCCTTTGATTGGATACATTTATCAATTAAACAAGTAGAGCTAAAGGAAAAGTGAAGCTTGTGTTTACTTCATCCTGATATTAGATCAAGCAGTTATTCCCTCAGCATACACAGAACTTTATCATTTGCCACATTGCAAATTTGATTTGTTGTGATAGACGATCACATTGTGTGGAAAGTTGTTAACAAAGACAAAGGATTTATGGCTCTTAAAAGTTTTTGCAAGTAATAATAAAGAAGGCATCCAAAGAAAAACCTCCAGAATCTAAACTGCAAAAACATCTAGAAATAGGTGAAAATTTCTTAAATCAGGTGTATCTACTATTAATTTGAGTAGGTGAATAAGATGTTTTGGTAATGGAATGAGTATTTTTAATCTTAAAATTAAATAATCAGATAATATGCACTTAAAATAAGACAATGCAATTTTTTATTTTTATTTTAAATGTAGATTGTCTCATTCCATTGGCAGAGGGTCTCACTTAGCTCCTCTATTAAAAAAAATGACTTATTTGGATTTCAGTTTTCTGCAGCATATACATCAGCAACGATTTCCTTTTTATTTAGTAATCATCTAATCTGTTAAGACTGGATTGCTTTAGGCGTATCAGACTACAGAGAGTTGGAAAAAAAACCACTTGGTTTTATGTAAAATGTTTGCCAAGCATATAATATATTTCTTATTATATCATGACTGTTTTGATTTATAACATAAAATCCCCAAAACATGCTATTTGAAAGGAGTGTTCATTCAAAGGACTACAAACATGAGACCTTTTGGGTCAGTTAAGAACTTTGTTATCTCAACCAACAGCTTGAGTGTTTTTCTTTGGTTCTGATCTGCGTATAGGAATGACCTGCCTGAGGTATTTTCTGCTGATTCCTACAGATGTTATAATAATTCCTGTTTTCTCAGTGTTTCTCATTGGTATGAAATCTCACCCCAAGCACTGGCAGTTAAGGGTGGACATAATCTGCCTAACTGTGGTATGTTTATTGACCAGGAGAAAGAACAACGTTGCTTTCTTAACAACTGTCGGTTACTTGTTGAACTGAAAATTGGGCGACCAAAATAATTACCTAAATATCTGTCAAACCACTTCTGAGTTTTTGGAGCTGTATATTTGCACAGGCATAGCAATTTGCCACTTCCTGTTTACAGGAGTTAGCTCTGAGTTATATATTTAGTGAAACCAATGACTGGTTGTCCCTTCGCTCTGAATATCGACTCATATGGTTCAAATTATAGCTACATATTGAAGCATTATGTCCCAAAAAAGCTGGTACTAAATGACTTTTAAAGTTATTTTCAGTTAGTTTGTTAGGTGCTTCTGAGAGAAAGATTTCATCAGGGAACAATAGGGGGAAATGCAGCTGACCTGAGGTCAGTCCTTATACGATGTTTATGCTGCAGACAAGATCAGATGTTCCTAAAAGACACAGAGCCCTTCCTGCCCTCTGCACCTCATTTTAACGACAGGCATTAGCATCAAATATCCATTACTTTCCCCCAGACGGAGCCTATTCATCACTGTTAAGCCCTGTGGTAGGGTTCGATTGCCAAAGTGTGATTTAAAGCAAAACGGGCGACACATGAGGAGATTGAAGGAGTGGCAGGTTGTTTGTTCCACGTGCCAGAACTGAGAAATAATGTGTTTGTTCCACAGTGAAAAGCGGGTCGGAAATGTTTATTCCAAAGCAAAATCATTTGTGGACTACGTTCGCCGAGCTCTGCACAGATTGGAGCTGGATGACTCAAAGGTCAGACGGAGAATATTTCATTGATCTTACAACAGCCTGTAGGAAGCGTAACAAACACCCATTTTCCTTTTTCACCACAAGGTTGAGATAAGATCTGTATTTAGTTTTATTTCAGACAGCTTTAAATATGATATTCTTGTTTATAAGGATGCCAGGCAAGAGTCTATTACCTTAGAATGGGATGACGCATTTCTATCATCAATTAGTTTTTTATAGTCTTAAAAATCTTTATAAAATCTGAAGCCTTGCCCGCTGTCCTCTTCCATACAGTTTTTTCTTCTTTTATCTTCTGTGATCTGACTTACTAACATTCTTTCTTCTTCTCCAGCTTTGTGACAGTGACATTCAGAGCTACTATGACACATACAAGGCACGGATGGACGAGATGCATGCCTTTAACATGGTAGGTACATTTCAGTGGACGCCAGATGCTCCTCCTAGTTTTTGAAATTCTGGAATAAATCCAATGAAGTTCTTGTATTTCCAGGTTTCGTTTAATGTCACATTAAGTTAAATCCATGTTTTTAGCTCTTTAAATACCAACATCTATAGGAAGATCTTAAGAGAGAGGAAGTGGGAAATGTAAGGATGGAATAGTATGACACTGACATGAATTGTTGAAGCGTTTAACCCTTCACTGCCTTGAAGGCTACTTAGGTTTATTAATGTCTTCAACATGGTTCAAATTGCACCAAAATAATTCAGGGAATTAAGTTTAAAATATTTTAATTCCTGCAAATTGTAGGTAAATTATAGATCTGTGGGAAATTATGTGAGTAAAATTATACAGAAGAGGAAAACTAGCCGTTTTTCCCTGAGGCGGCTAATTATGGCGTTAACCACAATCCAGATTTAGTTTGCGGACATAAAATACTGTTATTTAAAGGGTCAATGCAAACAAGCAAGCAGATGGGGCACAAGTCATAGAGATGTTTTGTTTTAGTCTACTAGAAGTAGGTATTACTGAAAAGATAATTTTAATAAAGAGTAACTTCTCTCCTCATGTCGTTCTCGCTGTAGCTGAAGGTGACCCTTGCACCATGCATAGAGGGTCTGATTCTGCTCGATCGCCTCTGCTATCTGAAGGAACAGGTAATGTTGCCATCTTTATTAGTAGGTCTTCCTGAACATGGCAAAGTCAGAACAATGTGAACTTTGGACTTTCACCTCTAAAGACCCACTCATTTAAGTAGCTCAATGTCTGAACAAACATCAAATGATTTTAAGATTATGTCATTCGGGTTATCTTTAAAAGCTTTATCTATATAGGTAATTTAAAAAATATATAAAATGATCTAATTTCTTGGAGGCCTCAGATTTTTGATCTAGGAAAAATATAGATTTTTTTTTACTCACCCTTTTGTCTGTAAATAATAACGGCCAACTGAACATAAAAGGTTACAAAATGCATCAAACGTTTGGGAAAACTGGCATTGAGTCTTATAGTTTTCAGCATCAGAAAACTTCTTTGTCATCTTACAGCATTTTATTCATATTAAAGGACTTTGACTAGGCCATTTCAAAATCTTTGTTTGTTTTAACCATTCAGAGGTTTTTCCAGTGCACATTGGATAATTGTCCTACAATTAAACCAAGTGATTTAGTGTTGTAGTAAATGGCAAAATGGTAAAATTGGATTCTTCTTTCCAAAGAGAATAATCTTAGTTAATTCCTTCTCTCAAAAGAGGAGCAGTCCAGTTAACGTTCTACTCTTAAAGAAAGTATAAAATACATTTGATTTAAATTAATGTATGTAATCTACGTCGAGTATTTCTGTGGGGTTTTTTTTGTCGATCTAAAATGTTTGTGTGAAAAGTAAAAATTTAAAAAATAAAAGAAATCGTTATAAGGTGAATAATTTTTAGCACTATAAAAAAACTAGAATTAAACAATAAAACAGGAACTGTGACAAACATTCTGGACAAGGGCCTGGTGTTATCTTTTAACAACTTAATGGCCAACATATTAAACAAGCAACTGAGCGTGAGTTTGCTGTTAGAGAACAATTTGTCTGTTTTTATTTATTTTAAGGCTTTTTACACATCTTTACCAGATGTGCAAAGCAACATGAGGGGTACTGTGAATAGAGTAGAAGAGTGATCAATAAAAGATGTGCATTTTTAGGCATTTTTCATGTTGCAAGCAATCCGGCTCATGGCAGCTTACTTGTCATGATACAAGCAATAAAGCATCAGTCTAAAAATATACATTGAAATGTTGCAACAGACCCAAAAGATTTGATCTCCCAAACAGCTGTAATCCCCACTGCAGAAAGATTCCCTTATGATTCAGCTGGACTCATCACTGTTGATTGGCTCATACGGCTCGTTGATTGGGATTTAAAACTCGCCTCCCCGATGATTAAAGGGAACATGCAGAGATGTCAGCTGAAATCAGGACCGCTGACATTAATATAGGTGTCAGCCAAATTGAATGCAGCTTGCAATTTACAGTCTTCTGTTGCTGCAGCCAAACACAACAAGCTAATCTTTGCTCTGAGTCATGGTGAGGAGATACAATGGATGTTTTAGCTTTGAAGTGGTGATTACATGTGGTTAATGTGTCAGGTGGACTTCCTCATTAGGGCCATGTAATCAAACTATGCAACATCAACATCACCGATCGGCACTGAAGGCTCTCCCATTAGGAGGAAAACGGTGCTGATAGATGTACAGTAATGTGATCCATGTGATGATGTGTTCTGGAGTATGCTAGGCTAAACCTAAACAGCCAAAACACTGCGAAATGTTTCTGATTCAATAGATGTAAACAAGGTAGATGAAGACAATGCTCTTCCAAACAAACAGTTCACTTATAACCATTTTTTTTACATTCTCACTGATACACCTTATAAAACGTTCTCATGTCATGTCAACATTTGGGGATTTTGCAGTCTTAGATTTAATTGTACGACATATCGATTTTATGCAGTAGTCCAACAAAAAGTAATGCCCTACTGTAAAGCATGCAGAAAGCATGGTTTTCCATCTAAAACTAAATGACAGAGCACCAAACAGTCAAGAAAAAAAAATGAAGTTCATCTTATGGAGCCTAGGCGGAAGTTCAACTGAAGAAACTGATTGCTCTCTGACATCCACCTGCGACACAGCCAATCAGCTTTGAACCACACCTCCACGAAAGCCAATCAGCATCCAAAGTTCATCTTAAAAGGCCTCCAATCCGCAACTCGTCTGCTACCTAGTGCTCATGCGGTGGTTGCGCCATGTGACTTCATTCAGATGACCCCGTCTCAACCCACCTCCAGCCCCTCCTCCACCATCGTAGCAAAAACTTAATCAGAATTTCATTCCTCCCGGACTCTTGCAGCATTCCATTTCTCATCTCAACTTGTCCGGCAGAAGACCGCCATGTCGAGCCTGGTTCTGCGGTTTCTTCCCAATGAGGAGTTTTTCTTCTCCACTGTCGCTTCATGCTTGCTCATCATGGACAGGTTCTCTCAATCTGTGTTATGCAACCTGGACTTCCATCTTCCAGGTCCCTGAGTGAAGCTCTAATATCAGCTCACGCAGTCCACTGGCTCTCCCCATAAAGCTCAGCATACCGTCTTGCTAACCATCAGTCTACAGACTGACCTGGGGGGGAAACAGCCTTATTCTTTAAGCCCGTTCGTGCATATCTATCAAAATTCAGTACTATGTTTCCTGCCGAGGTCTGAGCGCTAAAGACAGAGTATTGTATCAATACATTTCTTCAATTGTCTTTTCTCTCCGTGTGAGTTTTTCCAGATTGAACTGAGAAAGAAACTGCTGACCTACTGAAACAGGGTTTCCCTAATGAGTAGGGTGTGGAAGCTGTTAACAATCTTGTGGTAACTTTGGAGGAGCTACAGGAATCTGTACCTCAGGAGGGAGAAGCTATCAGGATTACTGTTAAACATGTACAAAGTTTGGTTTTGGGAAGTACCCACAAAGGTGCACAATAAAGGGGTTTATTGAAATCAGACAAAAAATAAAGCTGAAAGTCTTTTTGGGTAAAACATTTTTTGCATTGAAAGCACAAACACTGAGCCGCCCTTAACGCTCAACCCCAGAGTAAAATGTGGTTTTAGCATCATTCTCTCTTTCAGCAGGGACTGGAAATACCAATTACTGGCAAACTTTTTCATGCAATGGTTTCTAAGAAAATCATTCTTCCCCATTTCACAAGCGCTGTTGACCTACTGCATTATGGGAATGAAAACATTTTTAAAGTCTGTGATTGTTGTTTTAGAATGTCAGAATTCTCAAGCTGTAAAAATACTTTAGAAAGCCAATGCATAAGGTGTTTCCAAAAAAGTAAAAATAAAAACAATCTTGTGACAATGACTTGGATGACTGGGAATCTTCACAAGTATAAGATGTGTGTGTTTATGTGTCTTCTAGGAGGATGTATCGTTCTCTGCATTGGTGCAGCTATTTGACCCCCTTCTATCCCCAAGATGCTTCGCTGTTATCGGACTCAAAAGTTGTCCTGTGAATCTAAAACTCTGAGAAGTTTATGCATTTGCACATTAAGATGATATACAGACATTTATTAAGGATTTTCAATATCTATTTTTTTATGATTTAAATAATTGCATTATGGTGCATTATTTCCTCCTTCTTTGTTAAGATGTATGGATTTATATTAGTATGTTTTTTTATTCTTAAGGCTCTGCTTTGCCTATTTTTGCAGTTTTGTTGGCCACATATGTAAAGCATTTCCAGTTTTCTTATTGCGAGAAAGACTCAAGCAATCTCATTCCTAATCAGCTCCGTTTTATTTTACACTACCTATTATTTAGTAAACTGCACTTTTATCTCAATGGAAAAAAAGGGCTAGGATATTTGCAGGATTAAAAAGATAAAAATGGTTCCTCTAGTCCGAGGCTAAAGTTAATGTACAAGATGTGGACAGAAACTAACACAGCACACGCCGTTTTCACAGTGATGCATGGTAATGGCAGTATTACACGCAGGGAAACAGATCAGAGTCGACAGGAGAAATAGGGGAGCCAAATAAGAGATCAGGGCATATTCAGGTGTTTGAGTGGCCCTGTCAAAACCCAGGTCAAAAACTATACTGTATATTTTTTTTTTATTAGATTATAATTCTAACATAGATCTTAAAGTCAATATAAAAAAAAATGTTTACTTTCACTTTTAAACACTGCACTACTTGTGCTGGCCTGCCGCATAAAGTACGAATACAATGCATGGAAGTGTATTCAGTTGTAAAAATGTGAATGCATGGAGTTTTATAATAGACTGCACTTAGTAGCAGGTCATTTCCCAAACATTACAGAGAAGAAGCATTTTAGTCTTTGTGCTTATGTGGAAAATATCTGTTTACTCAAAAAATATATTTTGATGCCTTCATAAGTAAAAATAATTGCTTTTTCCCTTTTAATGTTTGTGGATTTAAATCAAATCCCTTTGATGAACATAAAGTTAATAAAGGAAAAGCGAATTGGAATAAAATAAAAGTTCATGAGCGTTGCGTTACAGTATTAAACATTGAGTCATTAATGATCAAAGCAGATGTTCTTAAGAACCATTTTTCGCGTGAGAGGATTTCATCACCAAAATAAGAAAAGGTGGAGATCCTGACCTAATTAAGTCCAAAACAATAATTCTGGAAATAATGTTCAAAGCAGCTTGAAATTAACTATTTCTTTCTGTCACACCTTTGTGTGTGTTCTCTGTTTGGGGCTTTAGCTGCAGCAGCTGCACATCTGCTGCCCATTCATGGGTTTTACATACTGTACTTGCAGTGGTGAGACTGTCCCACAGCCTTTTTATTTTTATCCCACTTAAGACAGACGGTGATGCGTCTGGGCCGTGTTCAGAGCTCTCAGTATGTTTCGCTCTGACAGTCTGGCCAAACTGGACAGAAAAGAATTAAATAAAGTCACAGATGTGAATGTGGCTATCTTGGGATTCAAACTCCACTTGGTTATGTTTTTTTTTTTCCAACTGAGTCACGTCATGTGAACCTGCCCATCCTTGATGGTCACACGCATGTTTGTTCATCTGTATTTATATATACAGGTGCTGGTCATAAAATTAGAATATCATGAAAAAGTAGATTGATTTCAGTAATTCCATTTAAAAAGTGAAACTTGTATATTATATTCATACATTACATACAAACTCATATATTTCAGATGTTTATTTTGTTTAATTTTGATGATTACAAATGACAACAAATGAAAATCTCAAATTCATCATATCAGAAAATTAGAATATTACTGAAGACCAATAAAAACAAAGGATTTATAGAAATGTTGGCCAACTGAAAAGTATGAACATGAAAAGTATGAGCATGTACAGCACTCAGTATTTAGTTGGGCCTCCTTTGGCCTGTATTACTGCAGCAATGCGGCGTGGCATGGAGTCGATCAGTCTGTGGCACTGCTCAGGTGTTATGATAGCCCAGGTTGCTCTAATAGTGGCTTTTAGCTCTTCTGAATTGTTGGGTCTGGTGTATTGCATCTTCTTCTTCACAATACCCCATAGATTTTCTATGGGGTTAAGGTCAGGAGAGTTTGCTGGCCAATTAAGAACAGGGATACCATGGTCCTTCAACCAGGTACTGGTAGCTTTGGCACTGTGTGCAGGTGCCAAGTCCTGTTGGAAAATGAAATCTGCATCTCCAAAAAGTTGGTCAGCTGCAGGAAGCATGAAGTGCTCTAAAACTTCCTGGTATGTGGCTGCGTTGACCCTGGATCTCAGAAAACACAATGGACCAACACCAGCAGATGACATGGCACCCCAAACCATCACTGACTGTGGAAACTTTACACTGGACTTCAAGCAACGTGGATGAAGTGCCTCTCTTCTTTTCCTCCAGACTCTGGGACCTTGATTTCCAAAGGAAATTCAAAATTTACTTTCATCAGAGAACATGACTTTGGACCACTCACCAGCAGTCCAGTCCTGTTTCTCTTTAGACGCTTCTGACGCTGTCTGTGGTTCAAGAGTGGCTTGACACAAGGAATGCGACAGCAGAAACCCATGTCTTTCATACGTCTGTGTGTGGTGGTTCTTGAAGCACTCACTCCAGCTGCAGTCCACTCTTTGTGAATCTCCCCCACATTTTTGAATGGGTTTTGTTTCACAATCCTCTCCAGGGTGCGGTTATCTCTCTTGCTTCAACACTTTTTTCGACCACATCTTTTCCTTCCCTTCGCCTCTCTATTAATGTGCTTGGACACTGAGCTCTGTGAACAGCCAGCCTCTTTAGCGATGACCTTTTGTGTCTTGCCCTCCTTGTGCAAGGTGTCGATGGTCGTCTTTTGGACAACTGTCAAGTCAGCAGTCTTCCCCATGATTGTGTAGCCTATAGAACTAGACTGAAAGACCATTTAAAGGCTTTTGCAGGTGGTTTGAGTTAATTAGCTGATTAGAGTGTGGCACCAGGGGCCATCAATTTTGAACCTTTTCACAATATTCTAATTTTCTGATATGATGAATTTGAGATTTTCATTTGTTGTCATTTGTAATCATCAAAATTAAACAAATAAACATCTGAAATATATGAGTTTGTATGTAATGTATGAATATAATATACAAGTTTCACTTTTTAAATGGAATTACTGAAATCAATCTACTTTTTCATGATATTCTAATTTTATGACCAGCACCTGTAAACAGTCATCCAGACTCTTTCAAGTGTCCACACAGGAAAAATGAGATGACAAAAGGTTTGCACACAATTCTGCTTGCAGTTTACAGACGGCGGGTGCGTAAACCCCTTTTCCTGGCTTTGCCCTTAACAAATGGCAGGAAAAGGTTCTCAGGATGCAGTGGGAACTCTGAGACACAAATAGTCAACATTAAGAAGGCTGTACCACCTACACAGACTTCTTCCCAGTGAGGTAGGGATCAGGGGAAATGGAGGGGAAGTGAGGCGAGTCTGCTTTAACTCCAGTCTTTGATGAGGCTTTCTCACAGTGCTGCTTGAATCCAGACTTCTCTAATCCTCCCTGATTTGGAAATTCATCTTTATAAATCCCTAAAGCCAATGGCTCAAAACATAGAGCTTTATCTGATTTTATTAGTTGGAGTGTAATTAGAGTTTAGAAGGAAAATAGTTGGATTTATCAATGCAACATAACCGTAAAGTAAGGAAAAATAGTAGGAAATGGCTGTAGACTGATTATTTGTTGAGCCTCCTTTGCCAAACGGTTGCTCTCAAACCATTTTCCTCCTAATTAACAATCAGACATGATGTCCTCTTATCTGGGACATTTTTAGGGAGAGATGTGATAGCAGGCTGCCATCAGAAAGAATTGGAGCACCATCTGCCTGTTCTGACTCCAATCAGCCTGTTTCAGATGAAAATACTCGTTAGCTTTCATTTATCCTTTGACAGAATCAAGGTTCTCATTGGAACGTTATTCATTTTTAAAGCTACAATCAGGATCAGAATCACTGCTTTATCCCTTGCAGGAAATTCTTTTTTTTTCAGTGCAACCATTTACAGAAGAGAGGAAAATAAGATTGAAAGAAGAATAGAGCAAAATAAAATATGGTATAATAGAATAAAATATGTAAAATTTGTAAAATTACAGCCCACACAGTAAATGACAGAATTCCCATATAAACAGAATAAAATAAGTTACAAGAACAAGATAAGGGTCACAGTATATGCAGTCGACGGTATTTACAATTTACAATGCTTCTCAGTACCAAATTACAATTAAGCACATGGTCACGTTAATGCCAGAGAAAAGTAATGAAATTAATAGATAAGAAGATATGAAATGACTGAAATGAAATGAGAGATGAATTATACAGTTTGATGGCCACAGGGAGGAATGAGTTTCTGTGGTGCCCTGTGATGCAGCGTGATGAAATGAGTCACTGACTCAAGCGCTTCTGTGGGTGACCAGCACATCAGGAAGAAGCTGTGCAGAATTTTCCAGCATGGATTTTATCCTGGCCAACATTCTGCTTTCTGACACTTCTGAATGTCAAATGTTAATGCATCTCAATGTGAGCCTCAAACAGAGTCACAGAGAAATGGACACACCTGGAAAGCAGAGATGGGTAGTAACTAGTTACTCTGTTATCTACTTTAGTAACTTCAACTTCAAAAAATGGGCTGTATCATACATTTTTTTTCTACTTATGTAATATTATATTGAAGTAATGCTGTTCTTATTAGAATCCAATCTCTTGCTACTACTTCCACCTTTACCTACTTTACTAAATGAAGAACAAGCACAGTTACAATGAGGGTACCTTCATCTACTGAGCTTTAAGAGCTACTTGGAGCTTATATCAATAAAGAGTAGAGAGTCACTGCAAGTACTTTAGTCTTCTCTAAAATATGTAATTATTATTATATTCCAAAGATAGAGGACATTCACATTTCCTCTGACCTCTCTGGGAACAAGAACACCGCCTTCCTGGTAAAGAGGGCCCACCAATGGCTTCTACTGCTCAGGAAGTTGCAACCGACTGGTCGCTGTACTCAGCTGCTCAAAGGATCTACAGCAAAATGAAGTTTAGCTGCATGGCACTGGAGAGAAGGACTTAGCACACGAGGTGAGAACAGCACAGGGAGATATAGGATACCATCAACCAGTTCTGGACTCG